GAATTAAAATGTTGTGAATATCATGAATGATGAATGCTTGAATTGAATATTATGTGCATGATACCAAATGATTTGATTATGAATTGAGATTCAATTTATATGGACGTTCGATGCATTAGATATGCTTACTCAGCTTTACGGCTGAGCGTATAGTATGTTTTATTTACTACATGCAGGTAAACAAAAAGAATAAAGTGATGAAATCCTGGTGGCAGATGGGGCGAGATGGTCAGGATGGATATGTGAATTTGAATTACTATTCTAATAGACATAAATTTATTATGTTTTGTAATTGTGATTTATTAAGCTTCCGCGACTTTAAATACTCTGTTGTTATCCTGAATAATTTATTATGAAATAAAGTTTGAAAATGTTTTAAATTCTATGATTCCCAAGTTTATACTTTAGTCCAAAAGGGACTGCAGACCTGGACGGATTAGGGTGTTACAAATGTAATTTATAACACTACAAATCATCTCTTTTGTGTTTTATAGTAATAATACTATTTTTTCTTCGAGCAGGGAATCTCCTGGAAACATCCTCTTTTACAAGGGAAAGCCATGACCTCATATAAGAGGATGGTTTAGTTCGGAGCTACACCATTACATGCACTGGATTGTCAATCATCTCTTGCATCTTGCCCATCCGCTGGTGGAGATCTCCCAACGCATTGTCCTCACCGACAATGCTTGCGCTCCCAAGGTGTCTCTCTCGTTGGCCTACTCTTCAATCTTCAAAGCTAGCCCTACGTGTTCCAATGTCGAACGCACGGGGTACTATGGACTTCATTGTCATGCTGGGCCTCGGTCGCATGGCGGCCACTCACAATCTATGTAGAAGGCTCCATCTTGCTTCTATGTGTCCTCTGGTTGGGATCCGTTACAACTTTAAGGGCTGGGCCTAACCTTTCAAGAACCAGAACTTGAAGCCTATCAAACGACCCTCCTTGAGCTGACATTTGTGCGTTTTGCGACTGATCCTAGTCTCGGGTAGAAGGAACCATATTAAACTCGCGATTTGTCCATCTCGGGGTTCTTGCTCAGGAACAATCAACATCTCCATTCATACATATGAATCATATTGTGCTCCCAATGAATCTCTAGCTCATGCTGAGTCCCTCTTATGGCAAACATGCTCTCACGCTCCGAAGCACGGGAGGGGTTTTCATGTTCCCAACTCTTTTCTTGGGGCATTGGGATCTACCATGAATGGTGAGGTGGACGATCCCGGCACGACCTTTTCCAACTGATCCACAAATGTGGCTAGTAACACAGTGATTTCATTCAACACAGGATCTAGACTCGTCGGGGTGGTTGGAGCCACCAACTCATTATGGTTTCATTTGTTGGATCCTCTAATAGATCTAATTGCCTCACCCCCGACCATAGTGTTCATGGTCTTTCTTCCTCTTTCTATTACTCAAATAGCATGTTTGAGTATTCTCATCCAACTCTCAATGAAAATACCAATAATAGAATATTAATCTACTGCTTTAGTGAATCACTCCTTACTGAATTATCCCTATATATGAATAAGGATCTAGAGTTGAATGATACTTGAATACTTGAAACAAAACTTGTACCTCACTCTAATATTATGTGAGTATTTATAAGTTCACATGTTTGCCTATTAACTATCACCAATTCACTTTTCTAAAGATCTATTTGAGTCTATTAGGTAACTACCAACCCATTTTCCCCGGATAATTAACCATAATGCACCGCATGTCCTGCTTTCGCGCCTCAATGTTAATCGCTGGCTAAACCCGACCTACTGTCCCATAGATATCAATCTACCAGCATCCATTTATTGGACGATTACACAAATAATAAAACTATCATCCTAATATTCCCATCAATATCTTTTTTTAAATAGAAATTGCAGCTTTAACAATGATGTACATTTATTACTCCATAACGGTTATTGTGCGGCAGGGTGTCGAGAGATCTTGTGGAGGCATTTTGAATTTGAAGGAGTTTCGCTTGTGTACATTCATGTAATTAGAGATGTGTATGTCGGAGCAAACGCTAGGGTGAAGATTATCAGGGGTGACCCTGACCCTTTATGTGTAGAGGTAAGGTTACACCAAGGGTCTGCCTTTAGTCTTTTCTTCTTTACTTTAGATGTTCTACCATAAGATGTTCAAGGGAAAGTTCCGTGGTGCATGCTTTTTGCTGATGATATTGTTCTGATCGACAAGACACAAGAGGGACTCAGAATTAGTGTCGACTTCTTCCACGTCAGCAGAACTTTCTTCTTTTTGTTATTGCCTCTTTTTCTTAGGACACTCACTCTTCCAATATCTTTTCTCTTTACAATAATGACAGACATCGCCAACTTTAGGACCCTTAGAAATCAAATTCCTTCTACCAGATTTTCTTTGTTACAAACTTCAAGTAGTAGATAACATTGATGATTGATCTTCTATACTAGAACCGGATGCTTTATGGCAGACTTCTCTCGTATGAATAGCTGATCTTACTTCTTCAAGAGACAAACTATCTTTTCTAAAAATACCATAAAATTCTATATGATAAGGGTCCTAAAGTGTATTCTAACGTCTAGCATTTGATAATTTTAGAAATAATTAAAATTTTGATTTTAGGCCTTTTTTTAACTGAGAAAATTACAATATCCAAAATGGACACTTAATCATAACGCATGTTCAATAGAGAGAGAATCATGAATGTTTCTTTGGTGCACCTTGAGTGCATATTATTTTTGTTGACCATCTCACATAAAAAATATTTTTTTAAATTTTTTTATTTATAAAAACAAATGCTTATTTAAGTAATAAAAAATACTTATTTTGTTCATATGTTGGTCCATGGTACACCTTAAGTCCACCATAGAATTTGACGAGAATCATTAATATGTTTAAAATGAAATTCATATATTGAAATAAGACTTTCAATGCATTAAACCAGCGATAATAATTGATATAATTGTATTGCCAAAAAATGTAAAAGGGGTTAATTGTAGAATTATTGAAGATATTTTTTGAAAAAATGCATACGCAATGTTGACTACTTAAGTAAATTATTTTTTGGGAAACCTAATTTAAATAAATAACCTTTATTATTTGAAGAAAATTGTACTACATCTGTCCCATAGAAATTTTCTAATACAAAGAAAGGTGTCCCATAAACTTTTCAAACTAGAAAAAGGGTGCACCCTAAAATCATTTATCCTACACATCATACCTTACATTATTATAAAGTAAAGGAAAAGTTAGAAAATAATAACAAAATTATACATTCTTAAAGGAGTTCAGTGTTATGTCATTTTCATATGATAGTCTACTTAATAGATTTCAAAATAATTTCTTGATTGAGAACTTGAACTATGACAAAGAAAAATTGTCATCTGATTTTAAAGGATATTTATGTAACACCCCGGCCCCACCCTGGCCGTAAGTGTCTGCTCATAGGATTGTAGACTGGCCCTACAAATCAAGACAAGTCTTTCCCGTGCACTTTGTCCTCACTCGTGCGCGCCCAAGGAATTTCCCAGGGGGTGTGCTTGACCTAGAGTAATTTTAGGATGGGTGACCCCTGGGAAATTCATTGGGCGCGCACGAGTGAGGACAAAGTGCGCGGGAAAGACTTGTGTTGGTTTGTGGGGCCAGTCTACAATCATATGAGCGGACACTTACGGATAGGGTGGGGGCCGAGGTGTTACAATTTATCTACGATGAATGAAGATCAAAGGAAGATATCGGATGCAATAATAGAAGTCTGGTATCTGAAAGAGGAGGTTTCTTTTTTGTATATGGCTACGGGAGACTTGGAAAAACATTTATATAGAAACCAATGTCTACCTCTCAAGAACGAATGTTATGTAAGGTTGTTTTGAATGTTGCATCCAATGGCATTGCAGCATTGCTTTTGCCTGGTGGAAGGACAACGCACTCGAGATTCTCAATCCCTCTGGCTTTAACTGATTGTTCAACGTGTGCTATCAAACAAGGGGGTCCAAAAGCAGAATTAATCTAACAAGTAAGTGGAATTGTATGAGATGAAGCATGTGTGATGAATAGATTTGCTTTTGAGTCATTGGATCACTCAATGAGAGATATAATGAGGTTCTATAATAATAACTCTAGAGAAGAACCATTCGGAGGGAAGATATTAGTACTCAGAAGTGATTTTCGCTAAATCCTTCCAATTTTACCAAATCTTGCAGAGAGGAAATTGTAAGTGCTACCGTGAAATTGGAGATGGGATACACAAGTATTGTAAAGTTTTTACGTTGACCAAGTGATGACGTAAATTACCATGCAAATGCTAAGTATAAGTAATCGGAAGGGTTGTAGGTGGAAACACCTGTAACCCGGCTTGTTATTAATGAAAGTAGGGACTTATTACAATTAGTACAGGTCGTGTGGAATTTTTTTTAAGCATGCCTCACAAATGAGGCTTTTAGTGGTATTTATAATAATCCTAAGCACGTCAAGCACGTCTCTGATTGTCCAGCCGGTCAGGCGGCTGACCGGTCAACCAGTTGTTCTGCTATTGAAGTCCGGCCTTCCCATATACCCGGTGAAAATAACCCGGGCTGAGAAGGGTGCGTGCTGTCACTTGCATCACCAGCCAGGCGGGCAAACCAACCGGGTGGTATCCATGGGTTATTACCCATCAAGGAGTCCTCCGATTCTCGGTTCTGTGGGGACCATCAGGGGCGAGAAGCTTATGCGGCCATCTCTTGAAATTCGAACTGCCCAGTCGCTTTTTGGCAGGAAAATCGTCTCGGAAAACTAGCGCCAACCCAAAATATTTGAAGTTTGAAATTTGAATTTTGAAATTTCAAAAACCGGGTGTCCAAAGCGGGAGAATCTTCTGGAAGTCGGGTACGGAGCCGCCGATTTATTGTGCCGTTTCGTCTCCCTAAGAGGTTATGATGGCAAATCATTTCAGCTGCCACGTGTCACTCTTTCGTTCGTCCGTCTGGGCGGCATCTCTCCTATATAAAGCGAGGTTCTCCCTAGAATTTCCTCACTTGCAAATCTTCAATTAAAAAACTGCCCGGCTGCTTCTGCTTCTTCACGAGTCCTCCGAGTCCTCTTATTCTAAGTAAGTCTCTTTCTTTCCTCCTCTTTGAGTCATGTCTGACCGCGAAGACAGTCAGAACCCTTCCATCCATTCTTACGGTTCTGGTGACCGATCTCAGACTTCCGGTTCCTCTTCTTCTTCATCCTCTGATTCTGAGCACCCGGCTACTTCTCCACAGAAGAAGCCGGTTGATGCTTCAACTTGTGCTCTTTCTTCTTCCGTGGTGCAAGTGGTCTCGGTTGCCCAACTCAGGGAAAGTCCCTTCAACGGAAGAGGCGGAAGACTAAGGAGGTCAACCAGCCATCCCACCAGGGGCCCAGTCCTCCGACGCCGGCAAGGGGCCAATCATGCCACGATCCCAGGCTTTGATGTCCAGGTCAGACGAGGAGCTCTTCTGAGCGTTCCGATCCGATCTGACTGAGGTAATGCCCTTTTCTTCCTTCTTACCGTCCGCTTACTGTTTTTGACACTTTCCTGAAAAGTTTTCCATGGCTTTAAAGCAGGTCGGCCGGATCGGGGAGGAGTATTTCGCCCGGTTTGTAAAATCGAAGGATGAGGAGAGGGCTAGAATGGAGGCCATGATGGTCGAGTGTCCAGGCAGCCCGGGCCAAGGCAGAGAAGATAAAGGGCAAATGGACAGAGCACTGCGCGGTCTACCGCCAGCTCTATGCCAAGCACGATGGTCTTCTCAAGGACGCAAAAGAGGCCGAGGATCAAGCTCAGGAGAAGATTGTAACGCCCCGAAATCTGGCCCAAAAGAATTAATTAAATTGTTAGAGCAATTGATTACGAATTGGGCCCAAAAAGGGTTAAAATTATAATTTGGATTCTAAGCCCAACTTTTATGTCATCTCGTAGGAAATATTTTTGTGATCGCGTCGGTTCAGACGGCTCGCGAATCGGAGTTATGGAGCTCATGTTATGACCATTTAATCAGGTATTTTGGGCCCGGAGCCCAAACCACTAGTATTGGAATTAATAAATAAAACCTAAACTAATTTGAGCTGTAGGATCGTTATCTTCTTTCTTCTTCTTCTTCTTCTTCTTTCTTTCTTCTTCTTCTTCTTCTTCTTCTTTCTTTCTTCTTCTTCTTCTTCTTCTTCTTCTTCACTTCGGTCGCCCTTCCCCAGCCATCGCCGCAGCTTCTCCTTCACCGGAAGTCCGTCGAGCTGCTGCTCCGCCACTGTCGCCGGCGTCCGTCACCGTCGCCGCATCCAGCCGCTGCCCCGGATAGATATCGCCGACAGATTAACCTCCATGCCCGATTGATTGGTCAACTTCGTGTTTTGACTCAATTTGACCCGTTCGTTTGATTTCGTTGATTTGTCTTCCGTTCGAGCTATCGATTCGATTTCGGCGTAATCCAGGTCCGTACTATGAAGTTAATAGCGTTTAGAATAGATTTAATGGTTTGGATCGTTATATATGTTTATGCTATAATTTGGCTAAATTGCTTAATTGAATTAAATTGATTACTTGAATTGAATTGTTGAGGATTATGGATTGACTGAACAGGTTTGACTTTGACTTGGGTTAGGTCCTGTTTGACATGGACTTTGACTGGATATTCTGTTGACGTAGGTTTGACCGGATGGTTAAATCCAAGACTTTAATGAATTGGTTAAGTTAATTAATTAATTCTAATCGGTAATTAGGGTCAATTGGTTTATTATGTTGAACATAGAAACTGGCCATTGCTCGCACGAGGGTCTGTGATCTTGGGTTTGAGGCTATCGCCCGAGGGATCCTACCTCCACCGAATTGAGGCTATCTTCGGTATTACGGATTGAGGCTATCTCCGTCATAGGCATTAAATGTTAAGTGGTTTGACTTTCGTGAAAGTCTAAATTGGTTTGACCGGTGGTCAAAGAATTAATGAGGAATCCTTGACACCTAAATCGTTTTGAAAAGAAAGAAAATAAGATGACTGTTGGTCAACCGTCTAAAGAACCGAATGTAAAGTTGAATTGATTTTTATTAAAAGGATAAACATATGCGCGATCTTAATTGTTGAATTATTATGTTTATTCTTGTGCTACAATGGAGTGCCACTCAGCGTCAATGCTGAGCGGATAGCGTTGTTTTCCTTTTTGCTGTCCGTAGGTGATCAGACAGATGAACCTAGAGCCGATCCCAGAGGGCATTGAGGAGGAGATGTACGATGGCGTGGCTGTCTCTTTGATCTGTAGTTATGCTTTATTTAATTAACTTTAATGCTTATTACTTTTTCGGGCAAGATCCCAAGTTGTTTGACTTTAAAAAGGCTTCCGCATTATTTTAAATTACTCCGATGGATTTTTATATGTATTGAAAGAACGTTTGTTTAAAATTGTTTTGAAAATGTTGTATATTCGGATACCAATCCAGTGGCACACCGGTCCGCGGTCTCACGAGTTTGGGTTACGCGGGTTGGGGTGTTACAAAGATCCAAAAGCTAGAGGCTGAAAACGCCCGGGCTGCTGAGGAGGCCCAAAAGTTGGAGGCCGAGAACGCCCGGTCTGCGGAGGAGATCGCTCGGCTTGAAGACGAGGCGACATAGGAGCGGGCGGAGCGTGCTGCCCTTGCTGCCGCCTGGGCTGTTCAAGAGCATGAGGAGTTCGCCGCTCAGGCGCTACCTGACCGGGAGACAGCCATCCGCTTCTTCCAAGGGCTATACAAGCACAAAGTCTCAGCCGGGATTGTCAATGAAATCGGGACCTTTGGCTTTGAGAGCGGTCAGTACGTCGAGCGACGGGCCCTCTATGGCATCCTTGAGCAAAGGGTCCAAGGTTTTCAACCAAAGGTTCTCTCTCTGCCCGAGCTACATGATGAGGAGCCAGTCCCTCCATTACCGGGAATCTGATCCCCTTGGCCTTCTTCTCTTCTATTTTTGTTTTTATGATGTAATGATTTGCCTCCGGGTAGTTTTTGTAAACTTGATATTAATAGAAGTAGTTTCTACATTGTGTGCTAAGTGCTTTTCTTCATGTCTCATTAATTCTTTTCAACTTTTCCTTTTAACCGTTTAGATTAGTAAATAATAGCCCGACTGCATTTACCCGGCTTAACATACAATTTTACCCAAGTCTTTTCGAAAGGTTGGATAGTCGACCGGGAAGACTTTAAGTTTTATTAATTTCCTCCCGGTTGGTTAATAACCCGAGATGGCATATTGACTTGTCCTTTTCGAAAGGATGAGTATTTGCCTAGGCGTTTATAAGACCGACCTATTTCCACATTGGCTTAACACCCTTGCGGATAGGTAAGCCTTAAGTTTTTCTGCAGAACGTCTGGCTTAAACTGGCCAGGATGCTCTCCCTTTAGTCAAGCCAAATCGTTTCAACTCCCGTGTTAGTACGCATGAGGTGTAGGATTGGCTAGACCGGTCTCCTTTTTTTTGAGAGGCCCAATTCGATTGGACATCTAACCGGGTGGATTAGTGTGTTGACCAACTACCGGTTGATGTATGAGAATAATTTTTCTGAAAAGAACAGAGTTTTATTGACGTCTAGGGAACTCATTACACTTTATCTAAAGAATTTATGCAAGTGATGAGAGTTCCAATGTCGGTCAACCCGGCCACCTTCCATGGTCTCCAGTTGGTAAGTGCCCGGCCTGACGATAGCCTTTACGCGATAGGGTCCCTCCCAGTTTCGTACTAGCTTGCCTTTCTCATTAGGCTTACTAGCATCCCTTCTGCGTAAGACTTCATCATGCACTTGGAAATATCGTGGGCCCACCCGGTTGTCATGATACCTCTTTACTGACTGTTGGTAACCGGTCATCTTGACAACTGCTATGGTCCTTCGTTCTTCCACCAGATTCAATTCAGCTAGGTGGTCGGCCTCATTCTGACCGGGCTGGTACACGGTTTCTCTAAATGTTGGAATTTCTGCCTCTACTGGTAGTCGGGCTTCACATCCGTACGTGAGCACGAAAGGAGTCTCTCCAGTTGCCCTTCTTGAAGTCACTCAATGTGCCCAGACTGTATGAGGTAGGGCTTCCAACCACTTGTGTCCTTCCTCACCCAATCTCTTTTTCAGCCCGTCCACTATTGTCCGGTTAGCATTTTTGACTTGGCCATTTCCTTGTGGATATGCCACCGATGCGTTGCTATGCTTGATCCCGAAGCTAGCAAGGTACGTAGTGAACCGGGGGTTGCGAAACTGTGGACCGTTGTCGGTAACAATGATCTTTGGGGCACCAAACCGGGTGATAATGTTTTTCCACACAAATTTCTCACATTGCCGCACGGTTATGGTAGCCATCGCCTCAGCCTCGACCCATTTAGTGAAGTAATCAATCGCCACCATCACGAACTTCTTCCCACCTTGGGCGACCGGGAAAGCTCCAATAATGTCAATCCCAAACCGGGCGAATGGTATGACATTGGACGTGGGTTGGTAGTATGTGGACGGTCTGCCGGAATGTTTGTAAAAAACTTGGCACGTCCTACACTTCTGAACATACCGCTCGCAATCCCTAATAATGGTCGGCCAATAGTAGCCAAGCAATATAATTCTTTGAGCCAAAGTGCGGGACATTTGATGGGCTGCAGAAACTCCCTCATGTACCTCAACTATTACCCGCTCAGCCTCCGGGTTGGTAAGGCAACGTAGGAGAGGTCCGCCAATGGCTCGTTTGTACAGGTGACCATCGATTACCTGAAAATGAGGAGCCCGCAGGAGCACCTTCCTGGCCCATTCTTCATCATCTGGTTTCTGACCGGTCTCCGGATACTCCATGAGATCGTATATCCAGTCATCATCTGCTCCGATTATCCCGATTGCTGAAGTCTGGCCCGGTTGGATGGCCGCCACTTCAAACCGGTCTGCGCTCGGCACGTCGAGTATCTCAATTTTTGCCAACTTTAACACATGCTCCGGGCAAGCTTGCGTCAACTTCGAGAGCATATCTGCATCAGTGTTTTCTGACCGGGGTATCCTAGTCAAACGAAACTCTTCCAACTCCCTTAGGAGCGCTCGGACCAGGTCACTATACCGGGCCAGGCGATCTTCTTTTACTTCCATCTCACCATTGACCTGTCCAACGACCAGACTTGAATCGGAACGGATCTTCATCCTTTTTATCCCGAGAGCCCGGGCTAATCTGAGTCCACCGGCCAACGCCTCATACTCCGCCTCATTATTGGTGAGTTTGAAATTAAAAACCAAGGCATGGTAGATCTTGAATCCTTCCGGGGTAGTGAAAACTACGCTGGCTCCGCATCCCTTCGGTCCAAAGGCCCCATCAACGGCCATATCCCACCATGGTTCGACCGTATGGGAAGGTCCGTCTTCGGGCTCTAAACCGGTCAGTTCAACGAGAAAGTCTGCCAAAGCTTGACCCTTGATTGCGGTCCTCGGTTTATACTCTATATTGAACTGAGTGAGCATCATCGCCCACTGGATCAATCGCCCTGAGGAGGTTGAATTTCGGAGTACCGGCCCAAGTGGCTGATCGGTTAGTACTTCCACAGTGTGAGCTTGGAAGTACGCGGTCAGTTTTTTGGCCGTAATAAAAAGTGCGTATGCTGTTTTTTCAATGGCAGTGTACCGGCTTTCTACCCCATTAAGTGCTTTGCTCACATAGTAAATAGGCCTCTGGCCGTCTTCATTTCTTATCAAGACAGAGCTTACAGCGTTTTGGGAAACTCCTAGATACAAGTACAAAGTCTCACCCGGTTTGGGTTTGGACAGAACTATATCAGAAACTAAGTACTCTTTCAGCTGCTGGAGAGCTTCCTCGCACTCCCGGTCCCACTCGAACGCATTTGCCTTCTTTAGAACTTTGAAGAAAGGTAGAGCCTTCTCGGCGGAACGGGAGAGAAAACGACTCAAAGCTGCCAACCGCCCGGTCAGTCGTTGCACGTCCTTCAATGAACTGGGCGATCTCATCTCGGTTATGGCTTTAATCTTCTCAGGATTAGGCTCAATACCACGCTTGGTTACCATGAACCCCAGAAACTTTCCGGTCTTTACAGCGCAAGTTGTACTTAGCCATAATCTCAAAGCAGAGCCTCATGTCGGCCGGGTGGCTTTCCGCACCCGGGCTCTTGATCAGCATGTCATCTACATAGGCCTCCATGGACTTACCGAGGAGTGGCTTAAAAAGCCGGTTTACCATCCTCTGATAAGTGGCGCCCGTGTTCTTCAGTCCAAAGGCCATCATCCGGTAGCAATAAGTGCCTTCAAGAGTTAAGAAAGAGGTTTTCTCTTCGTCTCCCTCGACCATGAAGATCTGATGATAGCCTTTGAAGGCATCCATGAAGCTCAGCAACTCACACCCGGCCGTCTCATCGACCATCTGATCGGGACTGTGCAGCGAGTACGAATCCATAGGGCATGCCTTGTTCAGATCCGTGTAGTCCATGCACATGCGCCAGGTGTTGCCTTTCGGTGCTAGGACGACGTTTGCCAACCAGGCCGGGTATTGTACTTCTCTTATGTGCCCGACCGCCAGCAAATCCTTCACTTCTTTCTTCACAAAGTCCCTTCGGGCGCTTGCCAAGTGCCTTTTCTTCTGCTTCACGGGCCGGCTACCTTCCATCACAGCCAAACGGTGGCATATGACAAAACGGTCTATGCGTGGCATGTCCGCCACACTCCAGGCGAAAATCTCTGCATATTCCCAGAGGACTGAGATGATTTCCTCTCGAAGTCCCCCGGGCAGATCCCGGCCAATACGCACCATCCTTTCCGGGAAAGCCTCGCGGAGAACAATCTGCTCGGTCTCATCACACGACTCCAGTTTTGACCGCTCTTCTTCATGGGAAACCAAGGTAACCCTCTCAAATGCCTTGGTCATTTTCTTTACGGCCTCCAAGTAACAAGACCGGGCCTTCTTTTGGTCTCCTCTCACTTGTCCGATACCACCCGGGATATCGAACTTCATGCAGAGGTGGGCCATGAAGATGACTCCACGGACCTTGTTTATTCCAGGTCGGCCTAGGATGGCGTTGTGAACACATTTGATGTTCACTACCACAAACCTCATTTGTTTTTGGACGACCTGGTCTCCTGTGCCCAACTCGCAAGTCAGAAGGATTGACCCTTCAGCTTCAACAGAGTCCCCGGTGAACCCGGACAGGGGAGTCTTTAAGGGCTCAGGCCGGGTCCGACACAACTTGAGCTTTTCAAATGCATCCTAGTACAAAACATTGACACTACTGCCCGTGTCAACGAGTACCCGGGAGACATCGACTCCACCCATGTCCATAGTTATGACCAGGGGGTCATTGTGATCTTCTCCGGTGGCGGGGAGTTCCGGTCAGTAAAGGTGATCGGCTCTCGTCTTGCCTGTTTTGACCGGGGATTTAGGGCCACCGTCCCGACGTAGAGCTCTCGCCCCCATTTCTTCCTTTGGGAAGCGGAGTCTCCCCCTTCCGGTCCACCGTAGATGACCTGCAAATGCTCTTTTCCGGGTGCTTTCTTCTTCTTATTCTGTTCAACCGGCTTCCCTTCAGGCCTGATTCATTGGTTTTTCTTTTGCTTGGCCTGAGCTAGATACTCAAGATCGATCTCCCCGGCCTCGATCATCTTCTTAATTACTCCCTTCACACTGTTACACTCCGCAGTGTTATGGGAATCAGTTTTGTGGAAGGAGCAATACTTCTCCGTCCATTGTCTCTCGCCAGTCGGGTTCTTTTCTGATTTGACCGGCTTAACCTCCATGACTTCCGCCTTCGCTTTCCCGGGCTGTTCAATTTCCTTTTTCAAGGAAATTTTTCCTTTGGAATGGCCCTGCTCGGCCTCCCTCTTGGATGACACCTGTGCTTCGGCGTCAGCATAATCCCAGGCCGTGTTGTAGGCCTCTTGGTATGACTGGGGAGGTCTCCTGCAGAACTCTTTATACAATTCTCCGGACCAGAGTCCGGACACTAGGAGGGACATGGCGGTTTTGTCGTCCATCTCCTCGACTTTATCAACCTCATCCTTCCACCGGGTGAGGAATTTCGTTAAATCATCGTGCTCCCTCTGCCCGGCCGTGCTCAAGTAGGTAAACTTTTTCCTCTTGGTGCAGTTTTCCTTGAACTTCTCTTGGAACACTTCGGCCAGCTCATCGAAAGAATCGATCTCACCGACCGGTAGGTTATGAAACCACTCAACGGCTCGGCCGCGGAGGGTTTGGAAGAAAGGTAAACATTTTTCGTCCCCGGAAAGGCCCATCATCCTTCCACTTTGATGAAGGGTTTTGACATGTATTTCCGGGTCCTCCTTCCCGGTAAACTTCGGGACCTCCAACTTTGTTTTCTTTGGAAATGGGGTCTCGTGAACCCGGTCTGTGAACGGAGATTCGTTCAGCAAGATTTTCTTCTTTTCGTCCCGGTCCACCTGGCGCTGCAACTTCTCCAAACATGCTTCGACCCGGCCCACACGATCCCAGGGTTGTTCAACATGGGAGCGGATCGTGTGCCTGGGATGGCTCTCTGCTTCTTCGTCATGGGGCGCCCGGCTATGTTGGGGCTCTTCGCGATGGGGAGGTTCTGCGCGCCTGGTCTGACCAGGTCGCTCGGCCCCTCTACCCAAGCGATCAAGAGCACTCAACGGGGTTGTTTCCACCCCTAGTCGTTCTTTGGCAGGCCGGTTTTGATTTCGGCCTTCATGGCCAAGTCTTTGAAACGCTGACCTCCTGGACCCCTCAAATTGAATAGCTTTTCCCTTCAGCTTCTTTTGTGCCTGGGGTACATCCCAATCCTCATCCCTGCTATGGACTGATCGCAATCGCCATCAGGCGTGATCTGCGTGCGTGACCTTCGGGACCGACTCCTTCTGGACCGGGATGGACCAGCTTTGTCCATCTCTCTGATCAGATTTGTTGGAGCGACCGGGCTGATGATATTAGTTTGGGGCAAGGATTGTGGGTATAACCCGGGAATGAAAGGTGATAATCCTCCCGGCTGTTGAAACATGGACATGAACTGCCCAAAATTTTGGAATGCCTGTGAAAACAGCGGGTCCACGGGCTCGGGAAAATTTGGAGAAAAAATAGGGATAGAGGTGACGGGCGAAGTGAATGGAGTAGGTGTTGGAATGGTGATGATGGGGGTAGGAATCTGGTTTAAGGGTTGTGCACTGCCTCCCATGAACGAGGCGACGTTCTCAACGGGAGTAGAGATTTGTGAGATGACGGTTCCCTGATTGCTTGTCATGACTTTTTGTAATAGGTCCCACAGTCGGCGCCAATTTGATGGCGTAAATTACCACGCAAATGCTAAGTATAAGTAATCGGAAGGGTTGTAGGTGGAAACACCTGTAACCCGGCTTGTTATTAATGAAAGTAGGGACTTATTACAATTAGTACAGGTCGTGTGGATTTTTTTTAAGCATGCCTCACAAATGAGGCTTTTAGTGGTATTTATAATAATCCTAAGCACGTCAAGCACGTCTCTGATTGTCCAGCCGGTCAGGCGGCTGACCGGTCAACCAGGTGTTCTGCTATTGACGTTCGGCCTTCCCATCTACCGAGTGAAAATAACCCGGGCTGAGAAGGGTGCGTGTTGTCACTTGCATCACCAGCCAGGCGTGCGAACCAACCGGGTGGTATCCATGGGTTATTACCCATCACCAAGAATATGATATTTCATTCATCTATGTCCTCTTACGCAGATAGGGATACACAAAATTTTTTGATTGGATAATCAAAATTGGAGATGGAAAGCTTGGTCAGGTGATTGATGGAATTTTTGGCGTTGAAATTCCGCCTGAATTCTTGATTCTTGACCTAAGTTATCCACTCAAGAGTATAGTACTGGAATTCACTTATCTGAACTTATTAGAGAATATGAAAAAAATTCTTTTTTTGGATAGGGCACCATTAGAACCCACCCTCGAAGTTGTTGAAATGGTAAATGAGTTTGTCATATTCGTCATTCTCGGTTATGAACAAGGAATACTTGAGTTATGATTCTTAATAGCAAGAAGATGCGAATGTAGGTGTTGATGCTTATTGGATAACATTTGAGTTTTTGAATGAAATCACATGTTCTGATGTTTGCGGAACCCAAACTAAAAAATAGTTTTGAAAAAACGGTATTGATTATGTTACTTGGATTGTGTGTTAGAATAATAGACCAACGCTAGAGGGGGGGG